GTTGAATTTCTGTTGAAACTTTTCTGATGACTTTCTTCAGCCTGAGTCAAAAGAAACACTGTTGACTTTCTATTATCTTTATGTTAATTTTTTTCTGCTGAATTTCTATTGACAGTGTCATCAGAATGACTGCGGACGTTATGTTTACTTTGTGTTGAAAAATTTCAATTGACTCTTGGTAGCCAATGTCAATCGAAAAGCTAAGAACTTTCTGTTGACTTCTTATTAAACATAGTACACCCCGACTACATGCCAAAAGTCGCTAAGTTTCTCAGTAGTCTCTGATAAGGTGAGAACGGGAAGCAACTTCAGTTGTCCCGCCTCCAGCGCGAGCATACTACCCTTGACAACGCTTCGGCGTTCGTGCACCTCGAGCGAGCGCGTGCAGTCAAAGCACGACGGAAGGCATGGGGCGCGTCTTGGAGGCCAGGCGTTCGAAAGGCATGCCCTGCCGTTCTGACGTTGTGATTATAGTGACTTTAATGACCACATTAAATAGTCACCTAGTAAAGAAAATAAAATTACTATTTGAAAGTGAAGAAACTGCCCTTACTCGCTTCGTCCTGAGTCGTGCTGTGCAGAGAAGCGAAAATATTTCTTCTAGAAGCCGTTTTTGTGGATGTTGTTTTAGCGACTGCGCCGAATTATTATTAGCTGTACTAATGCGTTTTAGTAAGAGATATCGTCCATGATCTTCGAAACACTGTTTTCCCTTTGACAGACTCCCGAAGAGAAGGTCAAAGACTTGGAACCTTAATAAGTGCTAAGGTGGTCACGGGCCAAATGATTACCTTCAACATGTAGGCTATATAAAGCTCTGGAGCAGAAAATGGGAGTGTGATTCAGGTGTTCACTGCTTCGTGGTGTTTGTGTTTGTGTTCCTTTCTAATGTGTAGTTGTGGGATTATGTAGTTGTGCCTTGAAATACCACATTATTTACTAACATTTACTGATTTAGTGGCATACTAACAAAATATTTTCTTATTACAAAGTGGGCCAATATTCAAAAGAAAGTCAGCAGAAAAGCTAGAGAAAATCAGATGAAAAGCTATTGATATTTTATATCCTCTGATGACTTTTTCAACAGCCTTTCAACAGAAAATTTGATTGGATTTGGGGTTTTATGGCGCAAGGGCTGCTGAGGCCAAAGAGCACCAAAGAAAGAAACTATTGCATTGAGGGGAAGCGAGAAGACAGGACTCTAGTGGTCAGGGTTAAAAATAAAGGAATGAGACATAAAACCGGATTAAATCACAAAGAACATTGGGCATACATTGGGCATGAGTGAAAAAGTTTGAAATTTACAATTGATGTAGATGACCAATATCATCTAAACACTTAGAAACCTGCTTGTAAGCTACGAATGGTTCATCACCCAGCAACAACATTGTGTGTAAGGGAGTGTGATTTCTGTATAACTGTGCAAAGTGAGATTGGCGTTCCCATTCGTAGAAAGGGCACTCAATTAAAAAATGGAGAACACTTAGAGGTTTATCGCATTGTTCACACAAAGGGGCATCCTCCCCACGGAGCAGGTAGCCATGAGTCAGATTCGTGTGGCCAATGCGCAAATGACACAGTATTACTTCGTAAAACCGTTCTCGGTGTCGGGCGCTTGCCCATTCACCCAGGTTTGGCTTAATGAGATGCAGCTTATTGTGGATCTCTTCATTCCACTCGGCTTGCCATTGGGATTGTATGTGAGACCTTACAGAAGAGCGGTAGACCACGTAAGGGATCCCTTTTATGTCTAACTCCCTGCTGACGCATGTGCAAGCAGCACGGTCGGCCGCCTCATTGCCTGGGATACCAACATGACTGGGAATCCAGCAAAAGACAATGGTGCAATGCTTTCTAGCTGCCACAATAACTTTCTTCTGAACTTGAACAACAAGGGAGTTCCTTGTAGGCAGCAGTGAAGAGATGGCTCGCAAGGCACTAAGAGAGTCCGTGAAAACTACTGCTAGCGTTATCCTGTGGCGGGCTATGTGTTCCATAGCCAGCAGGAGGCCGTACAGCTCTGCTGTCAAAATGGTAGCGGCAGTGTTTATCCGCCTTACAACTTCCACTGAAGAGCCAATGACAGAGCAGCCAACAAAGGTCTCAGATTTTGTTCCATCTGTATGGAACTTTGTATGATCTTCATGCAATTGAGCCAGTTCATAAAATTCTTGCAGAAGCACAGCACTTGGAGTGTTTTTCTTGTTATACCGTGCAAGAGACAGGTTGCAGTGTATGTCAGGGTGCTCCCAAGGTGATATGATGCCAGGAAATTCTACTACCTGGGATGCCACATCAAATCCGACAGACTCGGCCAAGGTCTTCAGTCGCATACTGAACGGAGGGATCACGCTAGGTTTTGCAAGAAACAGTCGTTCCGAGCGTGTTTTTTGAACAACTTCTCGAGTAGGGTACTGGGGGACAGATCGGATGCGAAGAGAATACATCATGCCCAATGCGAATCTACGTCTCTCGAGGCAGCGCTCGTTAGCCTCTGCATATAGACTGGGCACAGGGGATGTACGAAACGCACCTGTAGCCAACCGAAGCCCAAAATGATTAATGGTATCCAACATCTTGAGAACAGACTGTCTGGCAGACCCATAAACAAAGCAGCCATAGTCTAGTCGGGAGCGTACCAAAGAGCGATAGATCCGCGGGAGGCACAATCGATCTGAGCCCCAAGACCGGTGCGAGAGAGCTTTAAGGATATTGAGAGATTTGTGAGCTCTCAATTTCAGACTTTTTACCTGAGCAATAAAATTCAGTTTACTATCAAACGCAAGACCCAAAAATTTGTGCTGAGGTTGGACACTAACATTACTATTGTAGATTGTTAGGGATGGTTCAAGAAGGATTCCACGTTTGCGGCTGAAGCAAACAGATGCAGTCTTCTCAGGAGAGAACTTGAACCCATTACTGTCAGCCCACTTAGTAAGCTTGTTGATGCCTTGCTGAACCCTGCGTTCACAACTGAGAGGTTACAGGAGGAAACTGAAATTTGTAAATCGTCAACGTAAAGAGAGTACTGAACCGACGGAGGGATTACTGAAGCAATGGAGTTCATTTTAACTATAAACAAGGTGACACTTAGCACTCCCCCCTGTGGCACTCCATTTTCCCGCAGAAATTCACGGGAGAGTGTGTTTCCCAGCTGGACTCGAAAGGTGCGCCCGTCTAAATAGCTCTGAATTGCACGAAGCATGCGACCACGTAGTCCGAGATCATACAGGTCCCTCAAAATGCCAAAGCGCCAAGCCGTGTCGTACGCTTTCTCGAGATCGAAGAACACGGAGAGGCAGTGCTGCCCGTGCGCAAAGGCCTCACGCACAACAGTTTCGAGACGGACCAAGTGGTCGACTGTAGGCCTTGATGAACGATAGCCGCACTCAAATTTGTCCGAGTACCTTACCATGCTCCAAATAGTACATTAGTCTACGATTTGCTTTTCAATGAACTTGGTGTAATGAAAATTTTTGATTTGTATAGATATCGCCTATGCTTAAAATATAAAATTGAACAAAATATGCACATACAATATCTTAAAAAATTATCAAATCTAAAAAGAAGAGATTACAGTTATCAAACACGTAAAATGTTACCCTGGCAAGTGCCTTTCTCTAGAACAGATTACGGTCGTCAAACCATAGCTCACACACTTCCAACAATTCTGAATCAGCTTTCTACAAATCACATAGAACTTGATAACCTATCAGTGGGCGGTCTGCGGAAAATGATGCTCTCTAGCCGGAACGACCATGACTGAAAGATGCTTTTGAATGTTTTATTGTTTTTGAATGTTTTGTTGTATTTCTAATACGAGAGTGTTTTGTGCAATGCATGCTTTTTCTTGTGGGTGTATTTCATGTGTTTGCATTCGAAAACACTGCGGCAGTGTCCTCTTATAGAGCTCGACTTGGTTTCTAATATACGTGCAAATGATTGTTTCGTGTAAAAATGTTGATTTTCTTTTTTTTTTTCACTGTTCTGCCGCTGCTGATGTCGTGGGGGCTTGGGACCAGTCAAGCTGTGCTAACAGCTTTTTTTTCCAAGCCGCCCTCCAACCTGTACTGTTGGAAAATAAACTCCTATTATTATTATTATTATTCATTTGCTCCAGTGTCTTACAGAGACAACTGGCAAGAGCAATGGGCCTATAACTGGAAACACAAGAAGCATCCTTACCAGCCTTCAAAAGTGGAAGGACATGTGCTACCTTCCAAGATGAAGGGAAATAGCCCTCCTGCCATATGCGGTTATAAAGATATAAAATGACATCGAGTGTAGAAGGATAAAGATGCTGTAGCATTGAATAATGTAAACCATCTGGTCCAGGAGCTGAGGGCTTTGTGTTATGAAGAACTGCGAGAAGCTCGTGCAGGCTGAATGTAGCATTATATTCTTCCTGTTCACCTCCTGAGGTCTTCAAGAAATTGCTCTCAGCCTCCAGCTTGTGTCGAAGGAAACTAGATGAATAATGATGTGAACTGGATATGTATTTAAAATGTTCTCCAAAAATATCAGCTTGTTCCTCGAGTGTGTCTGGGCATGTTTCATTCCTAAAAAAGCAGGGGGATTTTAAATGCATGATAGGAACCATTGATCTTGTGTATTCGATCCCAGATTTCCTTAGGTGAGGTACTGCTATTTATAGCAGTGGCGGATCTAAGGGGGGGGGCGGTGGGGGCGATCGCCCCCCCCCCCCAAACGCCTCGCCAGGCACCCCCCCCCCCCCCCGGGGTTCTTCGTCAGCTCGAAGAAAAAACGTAAGCAGTCGACGCGAGGGACAAAGGATTAAAACAGCGGTGGGTGGACGCGCCTGCTGGACGCTTCCAAAGTGGGGTTTATGTCCGTCAAGGTCACGGTACGTCTTCCCAACAGGGACGGCGCCAGGAGTTTCGAAGTGGAGAGACAGTGGGGAGGCGCACCAAATATCAGGGTCCTCGACTGCAGGCACACTTCCAAACAGGGCCACCACGTCGGGCACGGGGGAAAAATACCTTCAACATATCTAGTCCCCTTTCTCTCTCTCTGTCTCCCTCTCTCTCTCTGGAGGTTGTCTGCGAAAAATTTGTGCCCTAAAAGCTCCCAAACGCAGACGCCAAGCAGCCTTCCTCAACGGTACGATCCTATACACAGCGGATTATTCTTCCTCTCTAGTGGCCGCCTTTTCATCACTCTTCGTTTGATGGTTTCTTCGTGGTTCTGGGCTTGTCTTTTGGCATGTCTTTTTTGGCTTGCTTTGAGATGCTGTCGAGCACGGGCTCACTAAAGGTATCTTATTGGCACGGTGTGCTCATTGCCAAGGGAAGTGCGGAGGGGACGTACCAGGAGGAGACGTTCCAGGGGGGGGGGATGCGGCTTGTACTACCACTTGACCAATTGCTTTTCTTCTCAACTGGGAGAGGAAGCAAATGCTCTGGGTACAGTGTAGTCTGGGTCTGAGCTTCTTTTAAAGACGCTCCGAACTTCCCCACGACCTTGGCTTAAACATAAGCCCGCTTTCGTCCTCGCCTCCATCCCTCACTGAGGATCAGCGCCGCAGCGCGGAATACAGAAAGAAGCCGACGAGCGCCAGAAGGGGGAGGTGTTTCCTCTAATGGGCTTCATACTGCCTACGGTACGACTTCTCGTGGCGGGAAGCTAATAAAAGAAAGATAAACGGTACGAGCACTCTAAAGGCTGGAGGCTGCTTACATGGGGTCCTCAAGCCGACGCCGTAGGCATTTGTTTGTATACAATGCCGTTTCAACTTAGGGTGGCGGGACATATTTTAGGAAAGGCTCCCGCTACCCCTTGTCTCCCCTTGGCGCCGTCTTTACTTTTCGAGTTAAACGCGACTTCTGTGGATTGACGGCAGAGCTTTCGTGCGGCTTTGCAGGAGCGAATATGTGTGTGTCGAACGGAACAGAGGCGGGGCTTGCTGGTTTGCAACTGCGGCTTCGAATTCCCTACCTAGGGAGTTGGGGAAAACAAGCTCTTTCAAAATTAAATAGACAGTGCCTGTGCCCGTTCGAGTGAACACCGGCTCCCAAACATCCATGCTGCAGTCGTGATCGGCCTTTAGCCCAGTTGAGATTCGCCGACCGGACAACCGCTCTGCCCCATCATATCTCTGCACCTGTCCTCTCGACCCTGACGAATGAGCTAACTACCCAGAGACAAGTAAGTGTTCCTTTCATTTAGAAAATATCCAGACGAAGTGCAATTGAATATAATTTGGAAGGATCCATTGCTGGTTTAAGGTCTTGTCTAAGTTTAAAAGTTATAGTTGCCGAACTGCAACATGCTTTCAAAAATATTCAACAATGATTCGCTTTCGTTCTCTCGAGTTGCATCCAGAACACGTGAAAACACGAGTTTGGGTTGGCAATGCCGCATGTGCTGCGCTCTGGACATTCCAAATATACGGCGAAGAACCGACAAACTTGCCTGGCAAGTTCGTCGGTTCTTGCGTTTCGCTCGTTGCGCCAACAGTGTTTTGACGCCGCGAGCAGCGTCGAAGCCGCCGGGCCATTTTTGTCGCGTGTTTGCAACGTACTCGCTGCATTGAAGCAACCGGCGATAATGAAAAGTATGTTTTAAAACCACGTTCTGCATTTTGGCACTGAATATAAAGCTCTAACTACTATGCCAAGGTTAATCTCAAAGAACAGCCGAGTTTTAGATTAAAACGTTTTTCGGAATGTCATTAGCTGCATCAGCTTCCTCCGTATAGTTGGCAAAGGTTGGCTCTCCGTACATGCTCTGCGGGTGTAACGAGAATATATAAATATTCAAGCAAAAGAAGCCCGAAAGTTGTAGCCCCGGCGGGGATATCTGAGCCATCAAGTTACACTGTCTGCAATTGTCACAGCCGCTATAGGACCAAACATTCATCCCCAGTAGTTAAACTTCTTGTTCCATTTCCAGCGCGCTGCCACGCGAATGGAGTAATCCCGTTTTCTATGAACTACAAAATTCCTTGCGTTATGGTGTTCAGAAAGGATAGTGCCACCACAATTTTCTAGATACTTACCTCTAGCGTGGTCACCCGAAAGGTTTTAATTCAAAAAGTTCATCCCCGACAGGTAAACAGATACAAAAGCTCTCAAGATCTATATTATGTTATCAGAGTTTAGTAAAAACGATAACTCCACAAAAAATATAAACACTCCCCACCCCCCTAAAATGGAGGTCTGGATCCGCCCCTGATTTATAAAGGAAGCATAGCCATGACAACTTTCCCGTTTTGCTTTTCCTCGGACGTAGCGTGCACGTGCCTTCATTTTCCGAAAGGATATGAGGTTATCTCTAGTGGGGTATCGTCTCAGAATACCCCAAGCCCGATTTTGTTTTTTGCGCGTCTCTTCACATTCCGAATTCCACCAGGGCTTTGGCCTCCTAGGAAGAAATTGAGATATCTGCCGGATGAACAACTTGGCTGCTGTGATAATGCGCTTGGTTAAAAGGTGATTGAGTTCGTCAATTTTGAGACTTTCGAGACGAGAATATGCTAAAAGCGATGCCTGCTTGAAAAGACCCCAATCAGCTTTGTCAAGGTTCCAACGAGGCGGGCGTGTATGAATTAAAGGAGGGGCAACGCTACAGGTTAAAAGAGTAGGGAAATGATCGCTTCCACGTGGATTGGAATCCACACTCCAGGAAAAATCTCGAAGTAAAATAGCAGAACGAATTGAAAGGTCGATGGAAGGTGATGACAAAGATGATGGACTAAAATAGGTTGGCTGGCCCGTATTAAAAAGACAGAGACTTCGTGTGGTTAAAACTGACTCAACAATTTTTCCTCTGACATCCTGACGTGTGCTCCCCCATAAAGGGTTGTGACAATTAAAATCGCCCATCAAAAGGAAAGGCTCTAGAAGCTGGTCTAACAGCGAGTTAAAATCTGAACATTTTAAAGTGAAAGAAGGTGGTAAATATAAAGAGCATACTGTCAGAGCTTTATGGTGCATGAACCGAACTGCCACTTCTTCAAGTGGTGTGGACAGTGGAACCTCTGTGCAGGGAACGTCTCTCGAGAGGACCACCGCAACTCCACCAGAAGAATTGCCAGAGCCCGGGCGATCCCTCCGGAAAACCTGGTAACGTCTCAGAAAATTAGTGCGACTGGGACTCAAATGAGTCTCTTGCAAGCACAGCGCTCGTGGCTTGTACTCCTCCAGAAGATGCTCTACATCGTCCAGGTTTCTTAGAAGGCCACGGCAGTTCCACTGTACGAGTATTGAAGCCATTTTAGGGACAAAAACCGGAGCACATGGAAGGGTGAGTCAGTTGCTTCACTTCGGAGGAATTACGGGTTTTTTCTATTTTTGTTTCTTAGTAGCCTGCCACTCCATCTCGTCCTGGTCAGAACCCGGAGTCGACGAGGGGGCAGACAAGGCAGCGCCAGTGTTTTCCTGAGCCTTGCAGGCAGACTTGCCTGCCGGCCTGGGAGGGTCCGTGCCGCGAGGCCCCGATCCGCGGCCACGATCAGAACTGGGTGGAAGGGTGGTTGAAGAACAGGGGAGGGGTTCTACCCCGTCCATCTGTTCCACCTCGTTTCCCGACAAGGGAGCTGCATGCGACCCACGCAGCGCCTAATTGGTTCCTGGCTGTCTCTCCAGAGACCGAGGCTGAGGTACTTGCTTTTTCTTCTCCTTAGGAGTGTGGCCTGTGTTGACAGGTACAGCCAGTGCTGGCGTGCCCTGAGCAGAGGAGTCAGCTGGAGCGCCCTCTCCGCGAGAAGGGTGAGCCTGCTGACTCCTCGCCACCGTCTTGAAAGGGAGGGCCACGGCTATCGCCGGCCCGTCTTTGCCTAGGGGAGCAGCATGCTGCCTCTGTTGTGGGGATGGGGCCTTTAGGTCGGCAACCAAGATCTCAGGAGAGACCTGAGTGGCCTTAGTCTCCGAGCGTGTTGCAGGGCCCCTGCGCACCACCTCGGCATAACCTCCCTTAGGAAGGAAAAGCGCTTCTTTGCATCCTGCGTACGACAGGTTTTCTTTAACCTTAACTGCGAGAATGTCCTTCTCTTGCTTCCAGAGGGGGCAGCTTCGGTAGTAGGCAGGATGTGGTCCTCTGCCATTCGCGCAGCGTGCCTCTGCCTCGCAACCATCAGACACGTGACCTTCATTTCCACACCTGGCACATGTCTCCTTCCCACGACAGCTGCGTGATCCGTGGCCAAAGCGCTGGCAACGGAAACACTGCTGGGGGTTGGGGATGTATGGGCGGATGCGACAGTTGAGGTAACCGGCTTTGACCGTCTCCGGGAGTGCCCGTCTTTCAAAAGTGAGGGTAACATGTTTTGAAGGGATATTTTCACCATTATTGCGGAACACTATGCGTCTGACATCGACGACACCTGAACTTTTTAGTCCCTCAAGAAGTTCATCTTCACTGGTGTAAAGAAAGGCTTCTTCAGACAGGACACCACGGACCGTGTTTAGTGTACGGTGAGGGCTCACCGACACCTCCACGTCCACAATGTTGGTCAGTCTGAGAAGCGCTTCACTTTGCTTTTTAGTGTTCACTTCAACAAGAAGGTCTTCCGAGTGTAGTTTCTTGCCCTGGTAAGAAAATCCAACAAGGTTTTCTAGCACACTGGCGCCAATAAAGGGTGACATCTTTGCTACAGCTTTTTGCTCGTCATGTGAGTGAATAGCAAAAAACTTTGAAAATGTTTCGAAAGTTTCTTTTTCCATGGTCTGTGGTTCTGGACGCTGCCTCTTAGAGGTTCGTCCCGAACCGGTTTAGGGTTTGAGGAAGCCATGAAAGGCGGAGGATGTTCAGAAACTGTGGCGCACCACCCACGACCGAGCCCAACAAGGAGGTAGGTAGCACCCCACAGCAACTATGGCTTGTATGCTACACTACCAGTGCTACCAAGTAACTATAACCAAGTGTGGTTCGAGAAAGGTATCTGTCTCCACCCAAGGTTAGCCCTTGCCGCCAAAGAAGGTGAGAATGAAAAAGAGAAGAGCAGAGAAAGGAGAAAGAAGGGAGGGGATAGTAGAAGAAAAGGCGACTG